TTGAATATGTCTTCACAAATCAAATAATGCTTATGACTTTTACCGATCCCCATCGTGTTTACTACTTAGTCAGAAAACCAGGAAATCTGATCCAGAATTATTTCGTTCTAAAACGATTAACACTTTCTTAGTAAAAACATTTCAGAAAGTCTTATAGATTACCGAAGTAGTTTAAAACATGTTTGTTTTTCCAAGGTATTATGACAAAAAATTAAAATTGACTAGAAGTATTTTAGACAAGCTTATACTACAAACTATTGATTCATATGCACCCTGTGCATAAAATAGGTAAGCGGTTAGCCGACAGAAAAGGGTATATATATATATATATATATATATATATATATATATATATATATATATATATATATATATATATATATATATGTCACTCATCGCATACATGTTTTAAGGACTAGACACCGTGGTGAAAGATAGGTATATAAAATTACGATAAAGAAACAGTGACGAAGTTCCATTTATGTTTCTATGGCCATTTGTTAAGACATTAGTCATAGGGAACATGTACAAGATAACAGCTTGTAGTGTATACATTCACATACAGAGAAATGAAACGGTCAGAGACTTTTCACCACAACCACACACACAGACACCAAGCAAATATTGATGGTGATTTAATGAATGTCAGGATATATTAATTAACTAGAAACAGTAGAAAACAATTCGGACAGGAAAACAAAACTGGAAATTTCACTTGACATTTCTACATCGACAAAATTAACATTTTTGATGGAACTCAGTGTAGTTTTCTGAAAAAAAGACAGGATTATTCTCACTGAAAGGTAGTAAGATTTGTGATCTTTAGCACAAGATTACGTGTTACAGTGCAATTTGATGAAAAGCGGTCACCAAAAGTGAAGAAAAACCTGATCAGGGTTTATTTCCATATAAAGTAAATTATCGTATTGATAAACAATTCTCACATGGATGCACTATATTAGAATATGATAATACACTTACCTTGAATAACTTCAAGTAAATTGGATACAATTTTATCATGTATTATCCAAATGTAACAATCAATAAACCTAATATCAACTAACACATGACTGGAACTTGAGCAATTTAAGGCGGCTTGGTGAAATTCGTGTTGAAAAGCAACTTGATGGGAATCACGTTACTTGTTGCTTAAGTGATGATTAGTTGGTGTTAACTGATAAATGAATAATTAAGTACTAAGAGGGAAGCCATTGTTTTTCATCTCGTCTAAAATCCGTCAAGGAATAGTAGTCATTGTCTATCAGAGGAAGTGTTAGATAAAAAATTAAAATGACGAAAGCAGTGATATACAATACTAAGAGTACTATGTCAAACACTCATAGGCTATTATAGCCTCTGAATAGACCACTTTAACCATTATTATCAAGCCACGTTCTTACCTCGTCGTTTATTAACCTTGATTGTGTTAATTTCTTACCCTATCCATTATATATCTGTAATTTTTTTGTCTGAATATAAGTATTGAGTCACGGTTGATAACATTTAGTTGGTTCACATGCCATCTCCGGTACGTTTCGTCTCCCTGATTATCTGTTCAGATCAACGATTGTATGAAATATACGTATTCAAACTTCATTTTCGCACTTGTCTTATTTTAATCCTGTTATTCACCAACGCGATTAAAGTCGACAACTATATATGAGGATTGGCGGTATGTAAGTTGCTATAGCAACCATTCATACTGTGATGTGTGCTACTGATGTCGACAGGTATAAGTAGTGTGTGTCATCAATCGAAAGTGAAATACCTGGCGTCACAAGGTTAAGATCGAAGAGAACGAGAACAGTGACTGGTGTGTAGACAAAAAAATAACCAAGTCTCAGACAATTGATTGACACCTTGCAAATGAAGTATTTACTGCATAGTTCTCAGATTTTACTAAGAGATTCTGTAATAATACATCCAAATACATTTGGATGTCCCCGCTTATGTTCTTGTTCAATGCAATACGGTTTGAAGTCAGACTTAGGACCACTAAAGCCCGTCTTACGAAACGTCCATAATAATCTCAAATTTTATAGAAAATATACTGAAAGGTCCTGTAGTGTCGGTTATTATGTTAAGCCCATATACCTTATTCTAGCTTTCGGACAGCTCAATCTATTCATTCTACTTGAGTAACATTCCGACCTTGTTAATTATTCGCTTATCAATATTGACTATTTTATATGAGCGCGTAGGTGTGTGTCCACTTCTTATCCCATGATTCATCACATGTCTAACTTAGTTTTGTGTAACTATAAATATTGATTAACGCGCGTCGTTTTGCTTCGTTCTATTCAATTCACTTCACATACAAAATATATGTATCCAAAACTCTATTCTCGTTATTTGATTTATTTAATTCCGTTATTGACTAACGCGATATACGAGGATAGGCGACATATATTTCGACAATGATCATTCATGCGATCAAATTGGAGTCAGATCCCCGGCCACTAAAGTCCCATACAACTGTTTCTTAAATAATATACTTCAACTCGGAACTTTCATCATTAACCTCGTAATACATATCGAGGATAAAACTTAGACCTATTGTGAGAGACAGATACTCTGTGAATATGGCTACAGGAATCTGCAGATTCGTACGAGTCATATCTAACTACTAAAAATATCACTCAGTAGTATATCCCTACAGAGAAATATTGTAAGCTGAAACGAAACACTACTTATCCCATACTCAACTAAATAATGTCTTTTATACATTTCTTAACCTTTTTACCAAGTGAAGGTCGTTAAATATTTCATATCCTTTTTATTTATAATATCCACCAACACTTCTTTCATCAATGATGAATAGTTCAGACAATCCTTTGTGCAAATACGATCAAACATAGGAGTAATGAATCTCATTCAGTCCAGTCATACTATTAAAATTAATATCTAACAAATTCTATATTCATGGCCAAGAAATCAAAGAATACTAAAGAGTATGATAATCTATACTATATAACTGATACTACTCGAATAAATTCATCACGTTCGGCACTCGTATAAACCTGTTACAATTAGTTAAATATAAGAACTTCTAGGAAGATTTGCAAAAAAATAATAATAACTAACTAGTTTTCATAGGTATCTTCTGTAAAATGTCAAGACGAACTCGTGGTAAAAGCGCAAGTAAAGGGTCATTCGCAATGCAATCCGAACAACAAAAGCACATTAGAAGATATAACTTAAGCATAAAATCAGTTGCAATTCAGTTGCAGCTAACTTTCTATTTACATTACAACTAAAACACACTTTTTAGAGTAATAGTACACAATTTCTGTCGCCTACAATTTTTCTTCAAAACCGCAGATACGTCCCACTATTAAATGTTAGTAGATACAAATCTATGCTTGAAATATTATTTTACCTAATCCCTTTAATCATCTAACGCCAAATACACTACGAAATAATGTTAAATCCTGTAACTCTTCTGATTACTTTATTTTCATAACAATTTGCTTCGCTAGGGGAAAGAAATGTAGGCATGTAACAGAAAAGCGATTTAGTTATAAATAATTGTTAAAAATAAGCTGGAAATCTTAACTACAGTAAAAACGAAATATATTCAAAGTGCAATTATTTAGTTTATGAGTAAACAGTTGGAAAGGTAAATAGATATAATGTATTTAAAAGAACGATGAAAAATATATATAAACTAGCGGGAATATAAGCTATAAAAGTCAAACAACAAACCTATTCAATATGATTTTCTACTAATATCTAGCATGTATGTATGCATAAACATTAAGAAGAAATGACAGTAGTACTACTACTATTAGCATTAATCGTGTTAACAATAACAGTAAAAGAATATTTCAGTTATTTGGGTGATATTTAAAAAAAATAATTTATTTTCCTCTGAAAAAGGTGTCGTCCTTTGCTTATTTTTCTTAGAATAAAAAAACAAATGATCTAAACAAACATGGAATTCTAAACGAAACGGATTTTTTCCTTTCTTAAATTCACATTATCAATAATACTGTGGTATTTCAACGGTCTGTATTGTACTCCCTGATTTAAATGGATTCACCAGAATTATGAGGACTTTGTGGTTAATTTATTGACCTTAAATGGGGCATATAATGCAAATTCATGTAATTTCGTTTTTAAACTTAGTGAACTTCTTTTTTGAGCTAATGGTGATGTGTGTCTGAAAACCTGGAGCAGGAGGAACTTTCAAAATAGGACCGGAAGTGATAGTTTCAAGTTCTAACTTGGTTACATGAATGGTTGGGAAACAAATATTACATATGTATTTAGAACCACACAAAATTCGGTATCAACTCAATGCGTTTACACAATCTTACTACCCTTAAAATAAAAAAGTAGAAACAAACATGATTAGATAATCAAGTTTCACATGTGATACAATAATAGATGATGAACCGTATTTTGTGCGATAAACAGTACATCATTTCGATACGCAATGTTTGACGTTTATTGCACAAAAAGCATAAGATTAAGATACCATCATACCACTTATGTCTCACTTTGAAACCGATTGCAAAACTGGACATCTACCTAAAAACTAGCTACTGTCTCAATGAAACAATTAGGAAAGACAAAATTAATGACCAGGAAAGAAACGAAAAACTGAATTAAAAAAGCAACAGTTAAAATTACCGAGTGCATATATATATGCGTTTACAGGCGGAATTTCTCTAAAGTGAATGTAATGCCTAATCAGAAAATAAGATTAATAATTGGGTTACTCATCCTGATAATTCAATATTTGTAATGAGATACATAACTCAGATGTATTTGGTCGAAAAAACTCTAATTCTCCTCAAAAACCTAATGCAACACTACTTCCTGAAGGGTGAGCAATGAATGATAAAGCGCACTAATTTTAGCTAATCCTACAATCGAATGAAATAACACTACAACTAATGAATATAAAGTTCAAAATGGTAACAAACGAAATATGAAAATGTAATAATTATTAGTTGATCACAAAGCACAACTGTGTACAGTCACCAGAAATAATACGACGAAGTCATGTAGTTGAAACAAAGGTCAGAACAATTTTGTGTAGTTATTTATCGAATTAATACAAGACAAGACGAAAATGCAGTTCCTTTTCTGAACATAGCATTGGGATGATATAATTTTAAAAATCATCAGGAAAATACTAAATAAATTTCACCAGCATAAAGCTGCTACAAATAATGTCAAATTTCAAAACACTGAGTAATGCATAATGAACGTAGTTGCACGGACAAACATGAGTAGTGGTTTATAGCTGGTCAAAAGAATTGACAAACATCGCAAGAAAATCAAAATAATGTGAGTACTTTATCCGGAAGCAGGTATTATCCTGGCTAGAAACTCCTATTATCCAATAACATAAACTTACAACTATGTAGAACAACTATCTATATAGCTGTAAACTCCAAAATACATACGTCAACATTAGATATACAAGAGAAAATATGTTGAAATAAATAAAAATGAAAATAATCTGATCTAGGAATATACAGAACTTTTGAAAATAAAATGATACTACAATATTTGTTATAACTAGTCGACCAAATGCTCTATAGATGAAGTAGGCAACTCCTGAATACTAGCGAGTTGAGTTTGAAACTTTAATCGGGCTTGGGCTTCAAGACTTAAAATTTCATTAAGTTGACCAATAATGTTTTTATGAGCAGCATGTTGATATAGCAGCAGTTCAAGTTGCTAAAATAAGCGGAAAAGAAAACTACAATTACCACTGCGTAAATTACAAATGATTATAATTCAAATTTCATCAATGAATGAATGAGATGGAAATCAGCCAGTCAGCTACAACGTAGGACCAGGCACATATATGCATCGATCCAAGTTGCCACACCGCATTAGCACAACAAGATAAACACCGAATTCATAGAAGTAGTTACTTCAATGGTAGTAATACATAAAATAAAAATTGTGTATAAAAATATAGTAGAGAAAGAAAGATATAAAGCAATTTTAGTTTCACAGTTTAAGGGAAGACAAAGAGTGTATACACCTACACCATTGTAATTGATTCTGAGCCATGTCACCAAGTCTCCAAACATTGGTTACGATAGTCACGCGAACCCCAACTAAGTAGTTCGCATCTACCAACATAGCTAAAACTAGAAGTGACTTCAAGGACTGATGCCACGTTTTGGTTTGGCCACCCTTAACTTTCTCCCAACACTAGTCAGCATTGCGCGTCGTGGTAATCGTGGCCCAACCATCTCAATCGATGAAGACTCACAACCTCACCAACTGGTTTGCCATCATACCCTAATACCCTACATCAAACTTCACTATTACTTACTCGGTTATCCCAGCAGATGCGAGCAATATGTCTAAGACATCTATGATCAAATACTAGTAACTTACGAGTATCTTTTGTTCTTGAAGGCTACGGTTCGCAGCCGTGAAGTAGAACAGAACGAACTGCTGCGCATAATTGATAGACAGATGACTCGCCTTCGCCATAGGCGACGTAAGTTGGCAAAAGCCAAACGAGCTCTCTGAACCCGTGTAGAGATTTTGTCAGACACCAACCCATCAGGGCTGATCAGATTTCTAAGATAAGTGAAGTTATCGATGCATTCGACTACTTCACTCTTTATCCTTAGTTCAAGTGCTGACGCAGGCCAGTCCTGAAGCGACCATATGCATTTAGAGAGGTGAAACGCATCCTAAACATCCTGGCATTGTTGCTTAGTGCTATCAAGAGACTGTATTTTATCAACGTCTTCGCCAAACAGGAATGTCAACTGCGTATTCCAAGTTGATAAGTGGACCTCCTGGTAGATCAGTTCCTGAAAATTCAGTCGACGAGGACGTTATTTCCAGAAGTAGGTCTATGATGAAGTCGAAAAAAAACGGAGACAGTGGATAGTCATGATGGATACCGCTTGAGGTCGCGAAATCACATGACAGTTCGCCAAAAGCTCTGACTCAACAGGTAGTGTTCGAATAAAGAGTCTTTACAGGGTTTATGTACTTTTGAGGTACACCTTTCAATGACAGACACTGCCACAGAACATCTCGGTCCACAGAGTCAAATGCTGTTTTTATGTCAATAAAAACTATGATTGTCGGGCGTCGATAAGCATGCCTGTGTTCTGAAACTTGACGAATAGTGAATATGTGGTCGATGAAGTCACGACCAAATCTAAAGCCAGACTGGTTTTTCGTGTTTGCAGTTCACGAGTCTTTGTTAGGCGCCCGATAATTATTGAGTTTAGTATTTTAGATGCTATATCAGTCAAACTAATCCCTCTATGGTTATCGCAGGATGATTTTTGACCCCTTCTTATATATAAGGACAATAAGTAATTGCGACCTGTAAGATGGGATTACGTCTAGTTCCCGGATTTCAGTTAAAATATCAATCAACCTAGTCGCTTAAATTGGACCACCAAACTTAGAGACCTTTGGAGCCAATCTATCTTGACCAGCTGCTCTTCCTCGTTTCAGATTAACTATAGCCTTTTGAACTTTAGCTAGAGTTGGAGAACCTACTTTAATGTTCCATTCAGGTTGTTTGGGAATGGTTGAGATGGAAATAAAGCAGTTTGCCAAAAAGTTAACAAAATAGCCACCTGAAGCATAAGAAGGTCTGATGCTTTTTCAATGAAATCATTTGGAACGAAATCGACGCATAATTAACACTTCTGTATTTTAAGCTATATCTAGAAGTGTAAAACGCCATACTAATGCAAGAAACGAGTTATTTTCAAATGGTTATAAGGCACCAGCAAATGCAAGCGCAACACAACTTAATAACCGATTCATTCCATTTACTAGTTGTGAATATCAAGCTTGGCCAAGAAAATGTTCACTACCTAAATTTCGGGATTAAAACACATCTTTTAAAATAATGTCACACTGCCTTCTTGTGGTGGGGGTGTTATTTACGAAATTGAGAGGACGAAAAGCGAATGTCCGGCGCTTTAACCGGGTTGGCGGATATGGAGGATCCACCTAGAGGAGTTGGAAAACCCTGATTCCAAACCAATACTGAACATGTATTCCAGGATACTGAAGGAACTAAAAGCGTATGAACCTATTCTAGGTCACCGGGTACCATGGGACTGCATCTGCCGACGTTGCTCCACTGCCTTTTGGATCAGACCTTTAGGTCGGAGGCCCCGGCGTGGCCCCTTAAGAAAACCATCTGCTTCGGTCAACAAAGGATGACGAACAGTAAACGCAGGTACATATACACATTTTGGAAAATTAGGTTGGTATCTGCATGATGTAAGAGTTATTAAAAAGGAAGGGAAACAAGAATGATCTATGAATAGTTACCTGCTTTGAATGTTTTATTCGAATTAATTCATTATCATAAAATCTTGTTAATGAAATTAAATGAGCCTTTACGTCTTGCTGCCTCTTGGCTTTTGTTTTTGATTTTTCACGAAACCGCTTAACGGCACTTCTGTTGCGAATTCTTTTGTTAATGTAATCTGGAGTTCTCTTCATAGGTTCTGGAACACTTTCGTATCTTTTCCTCGACTGACTGAGTGAGGGACAATATTCTGACTCCCGAACGTTAGCAGAACTAGGAAATGCTAGGATGATTAGAAAAAAGAACTAACGTAAAAGTGAGGTTGGTCAAGATGGAGAGCTACGAAACAAATACACGAACAGACTTCGATATACATCACATACATAATACTAAAGGGTTTGTATTGAACAAGAGAACAAATGACAAACGGACATGATTACTTATCGTTTATCATCATTTCTAGAAAAATAACTTTCGAAGCATCATCTTGTGGCGCATATATATTTGGTGCCTCCCTGTACCAATATTTATGTGTTCAAATAAATAAAAAATAAATAATCATCTTGTGTGCTTACTCCAGCCATGGTCTATAATTTGTCTCGATTATTTTGGAACACATTTATTATTCAAATAGGATGTAAATCATGTAATCTTCTCAACACTTCTTATTGGCTAACGACGTTCCAAGTGCTTTTTATTTTAGAATAGAACTTCCGAAATATATCATATTTACTAAACAACTAAATGTTTCGTGATAATTCAGAAGCTCCCATCCTCCTTTTAAAGCAAATTAAGTAGTATTAGTTGTACATACAGGTTAAACTATGGGTGTTGATGGACGAAACACTGTGAATCATTATGATCCTGACCGTTGTTGCTACCTTGACGTGGTGGTCGGGCTTGCCTATCGTGATGAAGCAACTGAGCTATACTGGCTGGAACAACCGTTCCTCAAGGTCCTACCATGCCAGACAGGTCGGTTGAACAGCGGTAAGACTAAAAGCAACAAAACCAAGGTCCGAAGGCGAAGTCGTACTGCTGACTGTACAGAGGTGTGACAGCAGTAAGGTGTTTCCTTCAGACAACCAGCATGACAGCGATGCTGCCTTCCCACAAGGAGGGGTGGGGTTAGAAAAGGTCGACCCTAAAAATGCACACCTCGCCTTATCCCACGGATATCCGTCTCCGGCGGTAAGGACTCAACAAGTACGGAGCTAACACAAAAATCACTCATAAAAAGGTCGTGTGTGACCGACCTCAAGCAGCTGTCCCTTGGGCACTGCGGTCACGCTCTCAGGTCACAATGACCAACTCTAATCCAATTTCCTTTTCAGGTACCTCCAGAAGAACCCTTCCACGGTGTGGGCAACCGGGAAGTGATAACCGCCCTCATACCTCTAACAGCACTCAAGACCACTGTATTCATAGTCAACCTCCCTCTTCAATTCCTATTATTCCTCCTACATCGACTTTATACACTAAACTTCCTCTATTAGCTTCCTCCTCAAGTGTCACCACAGCCAACGATTCTAATGCTCAAAACACTGTCCCAGGTCTACTGAAACCTCGCTCCAAACTACACATTGGAGCCTTCAACGTACGCACACTATGCCAAATCGGTCAGCAGGCTTCCTTGGCTAAAACCTTAGAATCTCGTACCATTGATGTATGCTGTGTCTCCGAAACACGCATACAGGATCCTAGTGTGGTCATTCACTTGACCTCACCTCGGCAAAACGGAGAGCCAACGAGATACACCCTCCGTGTATCTGGCGACCCGATGGCTAGTTCTCGTGGACTGGCAGGTGTAGGCATAGCACTTAGCATGAGGGCGGAACAAGCGCTATTAGAATGGATCCCCGTTAACAGTCGTCTATGCGCTGTTCGGCTAAACGGCTCGGTAAGAACTCGGAAGGATAGGGACACACGTCGTTGCCTTTTCGTCGTTTCTGCCTACGCTCCCACTGACTGCAGTTCGGATGAAGTGAAAGATGAATTTTACAGAATGCTGTCTGAACTTCTTCAGAAAGCTAAACGTTCAGACATAGTACTCGTAGGAGGTGACTTTAATGCCCAGGTAGGTAGCTTAAACAAAACAGAAAGACATTTAGGTGGGTATTTTAGTATTCCGGCACAGCGAACAGATAATGGTGATCGTCTGCTGCAACTGTGCTCAGACAATCGTTTATTTTTAGCAAACACAAATTTTAAGCATAAGGAGAGACATCGTCTAACATGGCGACCCCCTGCACCAAACCAACGATGGACTCAAATAGACCATATTGCCATCAGTCATCGTTGGAGAGGGTCAATAGAAGATTGTCGCTCATTCTGGGGTACCTGCTTGGACTCTGATCATGCCCTAGTACGAGCACGCATCTGCTTGCGCCTCACTGGACGCAAAAGAGCCACACAAAAAAGACTCATTAGAACCGAATTGAGTAATGAGAAAGCCAAAAGTAGGTTCCAGGAACAACTGAGGTCACACTTAGGTAGTTCTGAAAACGAGACTGACCCAGATGTTGCTTGGAAAGTTATACAAGCAGCTGTGGAAACAGCAGTGACATCTACTAGCGATTCAAACCACAGGGTTACAAAGAACCAATGGATTTCGTCAAGGTCTATTGCACTGATAGATTCTCGTAAACTCATCCCATCAGGTTCTGAATACGATGAAGAGCGTAAAGAAATCAGATCTAGATTAAGCAAAAGTCTAAAGAATGATCGTGAGCAGTGGTGGGCAACGAAAGCAAAAGAGATGGAAAAGGCGGCGGCTATAGGGAATACAAGACAACTCTACAGACTAATAAAAGAAACTGGAATTAATAAATCAAGTGTAAGTCAGACCATTTCGGAAAAAGACGACACTCTCATCTGCTCCCAGTCCAGACGCTTAGAACGATGGGCGGAACACTTCACGGAGCAGTTTAGCTGGCCTTCAGCTACTCTACAACTACCCTCTATTCCCAGACAGTGTGAATGGAACATTGAAGTAGGTCCCCCAACTCTAGCTGAAGTTCAAAAGGCTATAGCTAATCTGAAACGAGGAAGGGCAGCTGGTCCAGATGGATTGGCCCCAGAGGTCTTTAAGGATGGTGGTCTAGTCTTAGCGATTAGGTTGACTAATATTTTAGCTAAAATCTGGGAGTTAGACGTTATTCCATCTAACTGGTCACAATCACTTATCGTTCCAATATTTAAGAAAGGGTCAAAATCATCCTGTGACAACCACAGAGGGATTAGTTTGACTAATATAGTATCTAAAATACTAGCTTCGATAATTTTCGGACGCCTAACTAAAACTCGTGAGCTGCAAACACGTGAAAATCAGGCTGGCTTCAGACCTGGTCGTGGCTGCATCGACCACATATTCACCATTCGTCAGGTTCTAGAACACAGGCATACTTATCGGCGTCCGACAATGGTGGTATTCCTTGACTTAAAAGCAGCGTTTGACTCTGTTGACCGAGAGGTTCTGTGGCAGTGTCTGTCATTGAAAGGCGTACCTCAGAAGTACATAAACCTTGTGAAGGCTCTTTACTCGAACACTACTAGTCGGGTCAGAGCCTATGGCGAACTGTCATCTGCTTTTGCAACCTCAAGTGGCGTCCGTCAAGGCTGTCCACTTTCTCCTTTTTTGTTTAACTTTATCATAGACATCCTGATGGAAATAACGCTCTCATCGACTGACTTCTCGGGTATTGATCTCCTACCAGGAGGTCCACTTATTGACTTGGAATACGCAGATGACATAGTCCTGTTTGGTGAAGACGCTGACGAAATGCAGAGTCTTTTGTTAGCACTGAGCAACAATGCCCGATTGTTTGGGATGCGCTTTTCTCCCTCTAAATGCAAGTTGTTGCTTCAGGACTGGTCTGCATCAACACCTGAACTAAGGATAGGGGGTGAAGTAGTCGAACGCGTTGACAACTTCACTTATCTTGGAAGTCTGATCAGCCCTAATGGGTTGGTGTCTGACGAAATCTCAGCACGGATTCGAAAAGCTCGCTTGGCCTTTGCCAACTTACGTCATCTATGGCGAAGGCGAGATATTCGTCTATCAATTAAGGGACGAGTATACTGCGCGGCAGTTCGTTCCGTCCTTCTATACGGCTGCGAAACATGGCCTTTAAGAGTGGAAGATATTCGTAAGTTACTAGTATTTGACCACAGGTGCCTTAGAAATATTGCGGGTATCTGCTGGGATCACCGGGTAAGTAATAGTGAGGTTAGACGCAGGGTATTAGGGAATGATGGTAAATCAGTTGATGAGGTTATGAATCTTCATCGACTGAGATGGTTGGGCCACGTGTTGTGTATGCCTGAACACCGATTACCACGACGCGCAATGCTGACTAGTGCAGGGGATAATTGGAAGAAAGTTAGGGGCGGCCAAACCAAAACGTGGCATCAGTGCTTGAAGTCACTAACTTCTGGTCTGAGTCATGTTGGGAGATTCAGACTGCCTGGTTGGGGTCCGCGTGACTATCGTAACCAATGGTTGGAGACTCTTGGTGACATGGCTCAGAATCGATCACAATGGCGTCGGTGTATACACTCTCTGTCTTCCTTAAATTAAGAGATTAAAATCGCTTCATATCTGTCTAGGAACTAATTCTTTCTTCCTGTACTATCTCCTTATACACAATCTTTCTTCTATAGATTACCACCACTGAATTAACTACTCCTATGAATCCGGTGTTCATCTTGTTGTGCTAATGCGGTATGGCAACTTGGACCGATGCATATACGTGCCTGGTCCTACGTTGCAGCTGACTGACTGACTGACTGACTGACTGACTGACTGACTGACTGACTGACTGACTGACTGACTGACTGACTGACTGACTGACTGACTGACTGACTGACTGACTGACTGACTGACTGACTGACTGACTGACTGACTGACTGACTGACTGAATCATTATGATAGTAATACAAACACTGACATCGATTATTTTAAAAAGTGTGGTTGCACCAATGTAAGTAACCTCTTTAGACACAGACAAGAATCTAGATATTTTTCACCGGCTAGCAAAAAGTAATCACCTATTGATGTTATTTAAACATGGAGTAACAACATGGAAGGCAACCAGCTAAGAAACTGTAACTTTTAAGAAACCACTCCAAAACATTGAGTTAAGCTACATGCAAAGTGAGGGCCCATAAACAAATGACTTTCTGGTTAGTTAACGTCGAGTTAACAGATATTTAAGACAAAATTTCAAACTCTAATTGGTATTAATGATGTATTCAAGTACATTTCGATACTTAAGTATTTAGTTTTTAAATTGTAAAGGATATGGGAAGATGTGGAGGAGGTTAAGTTGAATAGTCTACTGGTGGAACGTAAAGAATCCTTTAACGAGATGATACGTCTGTAGTGTAAGAGAACCTTGGATTTCCTACTACTGTTGCTGTTGACGAACTCTTAAATTTAGTCATCTGTCGCGATAAGTTGAGACACGGATGAACAACCAAAAATATTGTAGAGCCTAGGGCCAATGATAAGTGGCTTAAAACACTATCGGAGCGACGAAAAATGAAGGTAAAATGGGCAGGATTATTGATTCCAAAAACCACTAACTGAAAAATAAGATTTGAAGTAAAGAAAAAAGCAACGGAACGAAAACTCCGGGAGCACACCAAGATTTGTCGCTAGGTTAACTAAAAGTGAAACTATGTAACTATGACTAGACGAAGCCACTTAGTTTCCTGCATTAGAACATTATTTTAAGGAAGTATACTTATCTTGACTCCCATCAGTTAAGCCGTAGGATACTCCATAGAACCTTTTGAGGTTATTTCAAAAAGTAACACGACCGAACAGTGACCTATATGTTAGGTAATGACATTGTAAGGTGTACCCTAGTCCCAAGCTTTTTACAGCCCCCAAATGCTCTGGTACGGCCGAGAGTGGGAAGAGTTCTCTCTCCCTCTCGCGATGCTCTCACATGGCCACGCGTATATAGCCTCTGCCAGGGAAGTCCTACTCACTGCCTTCTAGTGGCGGGGGTGTTGTTTATGAAAATGAGAGGACGAAAAGCAAATGTCCGTCGCCTTAACCGGATCCCAAATCAATGGTGCACATGGGCTCCAGTATCCTGCGGGAACAAACGGTGTATGAACCAACCGTCGGTTACCGGCTACCACTGCCTTGTGGGTCAGATCTTCAGGTCGAAGGCTCGGGGTGTGGCTCCCTAAGAAAATCACGTGCTTCGGTTTGGGCACCCGGGCAGTATCACAGCCCTCACACATATCAAATGAGATCTGTGTGGCGCATATGTATTTGGCGCCTCCTTGTACCAATATCTATGTGTTGAAATAAAATAAATAAGCTTTTTACAGACTACTTTTTGTCTGTTAGATTATTGAGTCCAGAAGACGGCATATTAATATGCCGAATCAATTAATTTAGCAAGAAAAAAATAGTTTCGCTACACCGTACGACTTTATTGTTACCATAAAGTCTGATTTTAAGGACGGGGACCTTATATGGTCTATGATGTTGAAAACCGACATATAAAAACGCCTGACTTGTACTATTTAGAGCCTGGAGAAGTATACTCTATTCAAACTGTGACAAACCTATGCCGCGCGATCATCCACATTTTTATTGTGTTTAGCGAAACATTTTTGCTAGTTGGGTTGGTTTAGTAGTGTGAGCCCAGTTAATAAAGTTTGTTGATTAGCAAATGTTATCCATTATGGGTACTTGTTATGCTACTATTGAGTGTAAACTGTTTGATATATAACGGATACTCACTGTTGATGGGATTATAATATTCCAAAGTTCTACTACCATTGTCTGCTCTTTCAGAAATATTCATCATAAGCCTAAGCGTGGCGAATCAATCATCAAGAGCGCGATTTATTTGACTCGAATGCACAAGTGGTTGTATATATTTAACGTTTACATTCAACGTCCACATTTAACAAGCAAAATAGAAATATCAGTAGAATATAGTGAAATTCTGTTTTTGGGTCCTTCATAGTATTTCAAGTTTCAGCTTGAATGACTTCTAAGAAGTCGTCTGGACTACATTAGCAGGCAGCGAATTTCAGGATTTGACTAAGCATTGTAACAGTAAATTAATCCCCAAAATAAATAGCTCTGTGAGTTTTCGACATTGGTTGCTGACCACATTCGGACCTCCTCGCTTCTGTCTTTTGATTTCACCTGGTGGGTACGCTTCATAATAGAATGTGTTACTGGTTAAAGCGTTGTCAAACGCCGAATACTTGTGGCATCTTCATTGGTCAGCCCGACGTGATCTGGTACACCAAATTGCAAACTGTGAGTCTGTTACTTTTTCAGATTTTATATATCATTGTCTTATTTTAAATTTTTATACATTGTGGTATTTTTTCCCGTGTTTTTGGAGATATATATATATATTTCCCACTCGTTCATTCTCGTACTTGATATTTCACCATGACTGAACAGACACCCAAGGTACTTAAGTTGAAGACTATGTCCCCACCTTCGTTCCAACTAATGCGCTTCTGGCTAGATAACATCGAGGCCTAGTTTTGCTACGCAGAAGCCGACTTCTACGAGCACGGCGTGAACGACACACGTGCACAATTCCTCGCAGTAGTCAAGGCACCACTGCGCGGATTCAACAGGTACCTAACACCTAGTATGTTTATTAGTGATGTTTCTGACCCATACCAAACCCTCAAACATGCCATCCTTAAACGCAGAGATTTAACCGTCGACAAAGGTTGGACCAACCCCTTAATAACATAAACGTACAACACGGTTCTGCCACAGACATGTTGCAAAGAATGAGAGAGGTTATCGGCCAAAGAACATTCGATGATGGCCTGTTCAAACAGCTTCTCTTATCAAAACTTCCTCAACAGGTGCAAGCTGTGCTAGTCTCGTTTCAAAACAACGAAGTAGACGAGCTGGCAGCATTTGCCGACCTCATCTTCGAGATCACTAGATCTTCTAACGCCGAGATTGTTTAGTCAAAGAAAAGTGTAGGAAACAATTTCCTACAGGTTTAACTAAGCTATTCTCTAAACTGTCGAATACAGAGTCTTGCTTTAGCCAAAGTCAGAACAAGTAAGCTATTTGGTCTGATAAACTTTATCTGTTTCTAAAACATAAATTACACACCGTTAGTATACAAAATAAACAGTACAGTCTATCAACGTAGGGGAAACAGAGACATAATTAACATACCGAACAGTAATCAGAGAATAGGAAAAATGAGTCAGCAAAGCGAATATTGTTTTATAATGAACATAAAATTATGATTGGTGGATAAAAAAAGGTAAAGTCATACAAGGTCAAAGAAAGTTAACGTGGTGGTGGGCGTTTCACCTTATCATTGGTGCGTTCGTTTATCGATCATATTTTACACCCCCCCCGAAACGCGCACCACGTCCATTGTTCTGGGTCGTCGTCGCCATTAGATAGCCGGCTTCTTCCAGTCGACATAAGCTTCGTACGTCTCGAACAATTTCTTCGTTTGTGGTTCTCAACTTCGCCGTACGAACTCGGCCGTCAGGACCATAGCTTATTTGTTCAACAATAGCTTTAGGCCATAGACCTCTACTCGTTTCGACGGTACTAACAAGAACTAGGCCACCCGGTTGTAAGTTTTTGTGTACGTTTAACCATTTGTCTCTTCTTTGGAGAGTCGGTAAATATTCTCTCATCCATCTATTCCAGAATGCGGTAGCTGATCTTTGAGCTTCTTTCCATCTTTTATTATATAATAACGTCTTATCCACCGAAGCACCGTCGAATGATAATCCTTTATAAATCAGCACCAACTTATTCGGAGTAAGAGCTTCTAGGGTACCGGGATCGTCTGTCATTTTAACTAAAGGTCTATTATTTAGTATCCTTCCTGCCTCGGTCAAGAACGTTTGTAGAGCTCCATCGATCAACACGTTTTGAAACAAAAGCACTCTTGGAATTCTTCTAATTGATCTTATGATGCGTTCCCGCACACCACCTCGATGACTTGTCCTAGGTGGGTTGAAGCGCCATTCACAACCTCTCTCAAAAGGGACATTTGCTACCTTATTCTGATTGCAACTACACATGATCCGTCTAAGAATATTATTGGCTCCTGTAAAGCTATCAGATGCACCCTTACTTTTATTCACAACTCGTACAAGAGCGCCTTTCTCGACACCATCCTCGATACCACGGCGAATATGTGCTGTATGCTTCTTCAGAGTTTTAGTTACTGGTTTCTTTGTTACAGTGGCCTTCGGTCTTTTCGTAGTCTTGACTTCCAGTTAGGTGCCCGTCTCTTCCTTAGGCTTTCCTAGAGTTGATTTGGGTTTATTAGCACATAGTGCTTCACTTTTTGGCTTAAAAACCTTGTACTTGTTTAATAAAAAGGAGCAATGGACTTGACGAGAGATATTTTCGGAACGAGCATACTCCGCAACACCACATGCAGATTCTGAATCATCGGCGGAGCAATGAGTCTGACTAGCCAGTGGTTTGTACGAATCTGGTGACGCTATGCGATCTTCCACAGATATCGATGAAGTACGACTAAATGGGTCTTTGAATTCAGTTGAATGCAACTGTTCAAACTTATCTTCTAATTCCTCCTTAGCCAAGAGGTAATTCAGTACACAGTTGCTTGCACGGGTTTCTCTGTAAGGGCCGAACAGCGTCCAACCCAATATAGTCCTCACAGCAGACAGTTAATTCGTCTTTCCAGTTCTTATCTCTTTCATCTCATGTATGCCCGGTGCATTGCATCCAATCAACAGTTTGACGTTCTCATCTTCTACTCTCGGAAAACTTATGTCTTTTAGATGGGGCCAGGATGCCATTTGATGCGCCGTTGGTACAGTCCTGAAAACTGCCGGCAATATGTTGACTGTCAATACTTTCTGGACCTTAACGGATTAAGAAAAATCCATCGAGTGCAACTCTATATCGACTTTTTTGGATACCAACGACGATTCATCACTAAGAGTCTTTAAAGATACCGTTTTCGGTTTCTCCTCGAGGCCTAACTTATCAGTTAGATCACCCACTATGAGAGAGGTGTCTGACCCGCTATCTAGAAAGGAGCAAGTCTGAATAATCTTCTCACCATTTTTTATCCACACAGGCACTACTGCAAATGCTACTGGTCTCTGTATACACTTAACGCCTTCCTCCGTACAAAGCTGAGTATTAATGTAGGCATCACCATTAGTATTTCTTTGTTCTTTCCGCTTCTCGTGTAACAGAGTATGGTGTCTCCAGCCGCAACCTTCAACATCACATGACCTCGGTGATCGACAATTTTTCGCTACATGGTTTGCCTTCAGACAAACATTATATAACTTATGTCTAAGGACGAATTCTTTCCTTTTTCTAACATTCTTGTCTTTAAACTTTTGACATTGATCTAAAGAATGATTACTTGAGCACTCCAAACAGGACAAACTACCTAAGGCAACATTGTCATCACTAGTACTCGCGTAAGATATCCTTGCTGCATTGTAATCTCCGCTAATTCGCCCTTTTAAAACACCAGCACCTCTATTGTCACTATTACTACCGCGGTTGAGAAGTAGGCCGTATCTAGTATTAGCTATATCAGCTTGTTCCTTTACAAACTCAACAAGATCGGCAAACACAGGCTCTCGACCTCCTCTGATAATCTTATAAGCTACCTTTAGCCACTCTTGTTGAATGTGCGTTGGTAATTTCAGAACCATAGTTTCGATAGTTCTAGAAGAGTTCAAATCAGAAACGTAATTCATCTGTTCGAGAGTCAAACCACATGCTTGCATTTCTCGAGACAGTCTTCTCAAACCATCTGGTTGATTCTTTCTTATAATGGGAAAGTTTAGCAAGTTGTCGATAAACGTGCGTGCTATAACGTGTTTTTGGCCAAACGTTTCCTCTAAAAGTTTTAGGGCTTGACGATAACCTATCTTAGGTTCTAGTATAGTACAATGAAGGATATCGGCTTTCGCTTCTCCGTCGCAATATTGAATCAAGTAATTTAGCTTAGCTCTAAATCCAATACTCTCATTCCCAATGCATTCTTCGAAATTTCTAATGAAATTCCAATAATTTGTCGGTGTACCATCAAATCTTAAGACTTCTCTTTTTGGTAAATACAGGTTTTTTAATATTGTATTCTCACTGTTGTTAACTGATTGGCCAGAACCTTCACATCCCTGGCGGCGTAACTTTTGTAGTTCAATTTCCTTTTCTAACTGGGTTATGCGTAACCTAGCTAACTCTAGTTCTATCATACTATTGTCTTTGGGTTCGTTCTTTTCAAGTTGATCCGCGTCATAAACTCCCAAATGATGGGGTGATAACTCTGGAATCTCATCGGAATCGTAGTATTTAATGGAAGTCATTTCAGTAGGTATATTGAAAATTACTGTTCGAAACTTTGTAGGAAACAATTTCCTACAGGTTTAACTAAGCTATTCTCTAAACTGTCGAATACAGAGTCTTGCTTTAGCCAAAGTCAGAACAAGTAAGCTATTTGGTCTGATAAACTTTATCTGTTTCTAAAACATAAATTACACACCGTTAGTATACAAAATAAACAGTACAGTCTATCAACGTAGGGGAAACAGAGACATAATTAACATACCGAACAGTAATCAGAGAATAGGAAAAATGAGTCAGCAAAGCGAATATTGTTTTATAATGAACATAAAATTATGATTGGTGGATAAAAAAAGGTATAGTCATACAAGGTCAAAGAAAGTTAACCTGGTGGTGGGCGTTTCACCTTATCATTGGTGCGTTCGTTTATCGATCACATTTCACAAAAAGCGTCAAACCATCCAGAATGATACAACAGAATTATGTTATACACTTACTCGTTAT